TGCGTCCGGATGCAAACTCAACACCGTCATCTTCATGTAGGACCTCACCGAGAATCCAGTCAATAGCGTATTTAAACAGAATGGGGGCCAGGATACAACCTTTCCGAACGCCAGAACGAATTCTGAACGGTTGAGAGTATTATGGACCAGAACTCGCATAACCCCTCGATCGTGGCGATGATCTTCAGTGCCATTATCTGTCATAGAGATTAACGGCGGACCAAAGCAAACGTGACGGCAACGATAACAAAGCAGACAGCTATCGGGTATCAGTAGCTATGGCGGGATTTAAAAATGCACCTCAGTGTACATATTTGGTCCGCACAGATTGCCAAATTTCGGCGACATCGAGGCACCCAGCAAGTGGCAGGTTGGGCATTGATGAGATGTGAGCTTTCAAGCGTGCACGAATGAGAAAATAGTTGCACCCATGGGTGTTACCAACCTGGACACCAAACAGCTGTGGAACCTTGAACTAAATAGAATGTAGTCGATCTGACTGGCCGTAAAACGGCAGCTCTAATCGTAGGTCAGCGGATGTTTATGGCGATATTGGAACAACATGGTCGTGACAGTAGTTTATGATCAGTAATGTTCCACAGTCTCACCATTTTCACAGCGTGAACTAAGCCCAAGGCGGCCAATGAGATTGCGAAGTCACCAGGTACATTCCGGCCGCTCCAGTCCTCAGTAACAATTAGCAGATCGCAAAGAGAGAGGCCTTCGACTGACACTTGCAGCTGTGAGTGAAGCATTTTTTTTTATCGCGCTGTTCAGCAGTGGAGTTCGGTGCGTACACGTAGACGATGATCGTTAAAAGACCCTCCAGTCGCACGTAGACCATCCATTCATTGATTGGTTACGTTCGATTGTTGAGATAGGACGATCACCACATTATGCCTACCAAGGAGTTGCGTGAACCACTGTGGTAGAGGAAAATGAGTTGGCTCTCGGGACCCTTATTCCTCGAGCGCCTGAATCAGGTATTCGGACTTCAGACGGGTACTAGACATCTAAGTTTTACTGGTAAAGTTTGCGCGCAGTCAGATTTTGGATATCAGGGCCCAGGTATGTTCTTATACTCCAGCATTCAATACCAAGAGTCCTTCCCTGATTAAGCAGTCCAACTCACATACTAGTCACTCGCACAACTGGAGTAAGGTTGCGTAGCGCGTCAGTTCCCACAGACGCCCAAGCATGGATTGTAGTACTTTAGTCAGACACGTTTTTTGAGATTTTTGAGTGCGGATCGGTTTTAAAGAGCCCCTTGGATTATGTGTTCGAAATTGCCTTCTCTAGCGCTTTATGTCAAGTCTAACCAGAAGGCAGCAGTGGTAAGCAAGCTTACTTAACGGCGATTCAAAACTATCATGTATGGCCGCTAATTCAGTCGGACTACACACCGACTCTGCTGAAACCAGAATAGTATATCAGTTTGACGAGGATCAGGGACACCCTGTGAGTAATGACTGTCAGCTTAAGGAAGTGACATTGAGCCAAAGCTAGTACCCAAAGGAAATAGTAATGACGGCGGAAAGCCTACACAGATACGACCCGCCAGAGATATCTATGAACCTGTCATGATCAGTGAGCACCTCAATAACGCACTCGGTGCAACATCGCAGGAATTCCTTGGGCTATCTAGGTGTCAGTTGAGATGGTTTGCACGTTATCCACGACTAGTCCCAAGGACACGAAGCTGCTGCCTTATATCCGACGTCACTTAACCCAACTGTATGCGACGAAAGGCTCAACTACAAACCACGTTCGACAGAGTTCGTCGACACGGGGGTGCCCATTGCTGAGGAAGAGCGGATTGAGTTCCCCAGATTGACTGCCGCGGATCGGCGCGCTTATATTAGTATTATTTAAAACATCAATGACGCCGTCTGGGTCCCTACATCAGACCACACGTAGATGCGCTGGATCAACACGGGACCAGACTGCGGCACGATGGCCGTTGTTAGGAGTGCGCCCCCATGACAAATGTCACATACAAGGGTGTGATGGCAGGTCTAAGCGCAAACTAACGTCACGCCAGCCCTTGATGCCCGATCCCGCTTCAGGTTGTTCGTAATCTCCCACGGATGGCTTGATATGTCTGGGGGTTTTGTCGCAGTGAGTGCGGACTATACAATCAAAAGTAAGTCAGTACACTCCATCCAAAGGCTCGTCTTCCAGCAATCAAAACCATGTAGAAGACTTTGAGGATTTAGTCCAATAAAATGGACGACAGGTCAGCAGCTATGAGGGTATTCTAACCAGCTTATGCCTCTGTGTGACAAAAGAAGTCTTATATAGGGTGATAAAAGGCACCGCTCCTCTAGATTTTAACCTGTGTTAAATTTGTTGACTTGGCTACATTCAACAAACCTAGGGTTCACAAAATAGACTAACTTTACGAGGCAACTACCGATTATGTGACCTGTCGAATAGGCGGGAAGTACCACATAAATGCCCTTCATCGAGCCATGCTAATTGCAAGACTTGAGACAGTTCGAGGCGTTGGACGCATGTAACGTCGCTGAAACTACAGCGATAGACGCATAATGCTACCTAGCTGGACACCGTCCCAATGAATGCGCAGCACAAGTCGCTCGTACGGGGAAATGCACAGGCAGAAACCCACACACAGGACAAGTTAATTGTGAATGACAAAGGAATTAAACGCGACGCCTAACAAACTGCATCAACAATACATGCATGCAAACAATTAAAAGTCGTGGGCTTCAATTGCGAGGACGCTCATTGGCACCTTGGTAAGAAATAATAAAATAACGCATAAAGAAAATAAAGCATGGCTGTCAGGGAAAATCCAGGCTTGGCAGCACATTCTAAGCATATGTGCGCATCCAACGGAAGGCAAAATTAAATGGGCCGGTCTATTAGCAGTACGCTGCTAACAGCAGACATAGTGAGAAATTAAATGGTTGACGAAATGTTACATGAGATTACAGCATCGAAGCGTCCCATTAGATTACAAACTGGCGTTGCTCGGACACCAGAAGACGTCAACGACCAATTTTCATAACATAACATTTACAAAGCTGGAAGAGGCTTGAAGGATGCAATCATAAACGTGGAATATGTCGCTGGTAAAGATTGCTGGAAGAAGTAGACAATTCTGCTTACCTATCGGGATAAATATCGCAACCCACATGCCAATTCCGGGACCAGGTGGAAAAATACCCAAGAAAACAAGTCTGAAACACGCGAGCCACTAACATGCGGAACCGAAAGTAGAAAACGAAGCCGAAACAAAAGCAAGCAATAAAACTACTCACACTCATTTCGCGGGTGCCGATGAATTTCGCTTACAGCAACGTAAAACAAACACACGTCCAGTAAATGCTTCATTTTTTAATGGAAAGATTATGTTCTATAAACTGTTCAGAATTATTAAAATAGTTTAATGCTACATCAAATAAAAAAGGAGCTGCTGCACGCCGGGACCTGGTCTCCCTGTGCTGATGAATCAAATTCTTGGATAGGTCAAAGAGTAGTATAACCATGGGCTCCTGAGTCTAACGTCGAGGCAGGAGGTGCCTTTACACTATTGAACCTTTTAAAAGAAACGGCTAGAACACAGAAGGCAAAGTACTTACGAGCATGAACAACAGAACTCTGAAAGGGGAAGGATAGACTGGTGACATTAAGCAGGTCGTTGCAAGAATATTTGAAGGACCGCAAAGACGAATACATTATTTACAGGGTTCAGCGAGGAAAATGAGACAGTATAAATAGGAATTTAGAAAAAACAACGTCACATCAATGCAGTGGCAGTAGTACGAGTGCCCCAAAGCCTAATAACTTCCGAATGAACCAAAAAATCGCAAATAAAATAAAAACAGGAAAACCATGCGGTACTGTGTAGGTTCCGTTAATGTAAGTTATCTATAGCTACTGTCATTAATTTTTCGCCATACTTAAAAACTCTTTTGTTCTAAAGTGCAAGCGTGTGACGTGATTTGACACTCATGGCCATCCCATGCTGATTGTCCTACAACAAATAATGAGTCTCGCTGAATGCAAGAGCTC